AGAAAATCTATGTCGAGGTAAACTGAATCCTTTAGAATTTATATGTGCGCAAGCGAAATAATTTGTAGCAAGATGCAACAGGACATTCAAAATAAAAGGCCTTAACCTACTGTTTGATGACGCTAATAGAGAACTGACGGTAAGCAGTCCAGCATGTTATTAAAGAAAAGGAGAAAATGAGGGATCATCACACTCAGTTCACCCATCATCATGCATGTGTAACTATATCGAAGGAACCAATAACGTATAAGTGATATCTATTATGAAACGACAGCCAAATAAGAAAAGCCGCAACCACCTCAGAACCATTAAAGGATATACACCTCAGAGTAGAAAAGAAAACCGGAATATATAAAACACGTATAAGACTAATTGTCTAATAAAACAAGAGCCAATATCAAAAAATTGAAACAGGCCATAAGAACAACTGAAATGAAAACACTAAGATTAATAATAGAACAGACTAGATAAGTCTAAGTTAGAAACAAATATATCCGGCAAAAATGTGACACCCAAGATATATTAATATGAGGAAGAAGGAGGAATTGACATATAACGAGCGCGGAGGAACACAGACTAGCAAATATGACGACATGGAAAATACAGAAGGAAAAGACCACAAAAAGATGACAGTCAGAATCACAAATAAGGATGAATGTTTCCCAGTAAACACAGGTCTTGGGCCCAACGTAGGAAGAAATAAATAATTCGGACGTTAGGAAAATTGCAATTATTTTTTACCCCTCAAAAACTTGCCCGTTGCCGATATTTAGAGAAAGTTCCAATAACGGACTACTGATTACCATTTATACGAATGTTTTGTAAAAGCATGTCACTTAGCAGAAACCATTTATTACATGAAAATGTATTTTCCTCTGATGAATCATTTTTCATACGAATCGAGTAATTCGGCGAACGGAAAAGTGTTTCCTTAAATTCCCATTAATTTTGGGAGAGTGGAAATTCCCTGTGGAAAATTGGCGGACGACATAGTGGGAATTACCCCTGCTCATATTTTATTTGAATTTAGTACACTTCATATAAAATTGTAATTAATTTTAAAATCATCAATCATAAGTGAAATCAAACTTAATAATAGACAAATATTCTTTCTTTAAATTTTATGCTCCGCTTAAATATGATTGTGTATATATATATATATATATATATATATATATATATATATATATATATATATATATATATATATATATATATATATATATATATATATATATATATATATATATATATATATATATATATATATATATATATATATATATATATATATATATATATATATATATATATATATATATATATATATATATATGTATATAAGCTTTTATTGAAAATTATTCATATATTAAGCAACTTAAAAACTAAAAATGCCAAACTAAAAGTTACCAATTTCCTTCCAACTTCCAACTTCCTAGTGATGCCACTCTTATCCTATTGATTATTTTTCACTTTTCAAAGAAATAAAATCTGGTTAAGTGTACATATTTAGGCGAATTATGTGTATTCTTAGTCTTTCTCGAAATAATACTTGGATAAAAAAATACACTGGTAATTTTTCAAAGAAGCTTCCACGGGCTTCTGTAATACTTTTTACAAATCTTCTGCATTCCCGATGGGTCGGTTGTTACACAATAGATCTAACTTTTTAGAAAACTTCTTTATTCCTCCTGCGTTGGCTTTTGTTGACTCGAACCAGCTAACGTTTCGCGAAACATCCTGTTGGCTTCTTCAGAAGAAGAAGAAGGATGTTTAGCGAAACGTTAGCTAGTTCGAGTCAACAAAAACCAACGCAAGAGGGATTCAGAAGTTTTATAAAAAGTATTACAGTAGCCTGTGGAAGTTTCTTTAAAAAATTAATAGGTCTTGCTGATGTTTCGCCAATCATCTTGTTGCCTGCTTCAGAACGTAACTGAAACTGGTTCTCATTTTACTATGTACTTGCTTATATATGCTCTCGGATTACTAATTCCACAGAAATCTCTAAGGATGACTTTAGAGATTTCTGTGGATTTCCGGATTTTTCTTTGGTAGAAGAATTATCATATAGCTCAAGTCATCTTGATCCTCGGCTATAATTATTTGGTCATTAACAAAATACAGACTATATAGATTGTCATCAATTTGCAACCCCATATATTTATTTCTTTTTTGGCTACTTTTGTAAATCTTCGATCAGATATATTTTAAAAGATGTTTGGTAGTAAAGAAAAAGCCAGTCGTAGACGTCTGGAGGTGATAAAAGCTGGAAAACCTTTTACATCAGTTTCTTATTCTATTCTATTCTTTTAGAGCTTTCCTCAAGTTCGATATCGGAACACTCTCCTAAGCCTATTCTTGATCACAGAAATATGAACTTCCCTATTTCCCTGAATTCTTTACTCGGTGTTTTAGGATGGAATATTTCGTCCATTGCTCTAAAATCAAATTTTTTTTTTTTGGGGTTTGAAGTTATATGTTGTTGCTAAAAAGTAATCGGAAATATTTTGTAGTGTTAGTGAACAAAATAGTATGATCGATTAAACATTAAACATATTTGGATGTATTAAATCAAAAGGCCCGGAGGTTTGTTAATACTAATACTGAAAGAAATTGTTTTTGGGGTTCGAATTTGAAATTAGCAATGTCCGTGCTAAAAATTAATCCGGAATTCTTTGATTGTTAGTACACAAAACAAGTCCGCTAATAAAGTATTTTTTGTATTTCAATTTATAAAATGCAAAATTGCACAATTTGGCAACAAGCCATCGTGGCAAGACAAGCATTTTGTCCCAAATATGTGGAGCCAATGTTTCTGGAATACCATTTTAACGAGTATTTTTGCTATTTGCCGCTCGACTTTGACATTCATTCGTGAAATTATAGGTCACTTCAATAACTTCGTTTTGTGCTAAGCTAAGGTAAATGAGGTTTACTTGACAACACAGCAATTTGTGTTACTTTTCTTTGAAGTTTTCCGAGATAGAGTAATAAGATCAATAGGGTTTTTGCATGTGAAAAAGCATGAAAAGCAAGGATCATGATATTTCTTATATGTCCAAAAATGTAAGAAAAAAAATTGTTTTTTAAATATATAAACGTCGTTAAAGAATTATTGGGTACGTGAGTCAGGTATCGGCTTTTTTAGGGACACAAATTGAATAAATTGAACAGGGTCCTCACAAATGAAACTAGAGAAGTAATGGTGCGTCATTATAAAAGTTTGTTAATATTAGTTCTATGCAAGTTTAATTTACAATCAAAAATATAATATAAAAATTACTATGTCAAGCTTTGAAAGGTCGAAATATATTTTTTTGAGTTTAATTCCCTATTTCTGTTCGATTGCATTTTGTCCCTTAATTTGAAAAGTCACCAAAAATGAGGTTTCGTAATCATAGCGGAACACCCCGTTAAAAAGAAACAGGCTTGTTAGCTTTATTTTTGACAATTTTGACTGTTGTTTCAATGGTCAATCAAAATTGTACTTACCAAAGTGGAAAGTTGGACATTTTCTTAGTATTCCAATTCCAATCGATTTCTAATCGTGCATATTGATGATTGGAAATTTCTCCAAAAATAAGCTACATATTTGAAATACTGTCAAAAATTATAAATATATATTTGCAATAAGAACAAAGATATATCGATTGTATTTTAAAAGTATTTACGTTTAGAAACTACACTTGAAATTTGGTCATTTAAACTTCGCCCCAGGATGAACATTCACGAAAAAAAAAATTAATATTTCATAGACTAGATATGCAAACTTGCAAGTTGATAAAATCTATCTGAGTTTGACATAAAAAAAATGAAAACTAGATATCAAAAAAAGAAAGTTTCATTTTGATTTGTTTTAACATTTTTGAAAATTAGAGTTTGCATGCAGACTTCATCAAAAACATCCATCTTGTAATCATTTTCATATTTTTTCTAAGCAGCAAACAACAAAAATGTCGAATTTAAAATGTGCTTCGAGAGAACAATTCAAACTGCCCATAGTGTCCGCCATAAAGTCCCTCTGGACCCACCTGGCGGTACTCACTGTGGGCCTAGGTTCTTCTTTTGACATGCAATACTCTGCGGTACTAGCGACCTGTATCATAGAAGAATTCTTAATCATCCTTACACACAACAGTGTGCATTTTAATGCCCTACAAGAATATTCCAACCAACTTTTAACTGATGAATTTTTTCAAGAACATCTGACAAAATTTAATGGTTATTTATGGTATGCTGACGCTTGCAAGTACAACAATGTTCTTGCAAGCCGTAATGCCTTCCCATCACTTCGAAGGAGTTTGAGTACTGGAAATAGTGCAGGTAATAAAAAGAAGGGAAGGGATTATTTTGATGGACATATTGTGGAACCTGAATATAAATAATTAATTTTTATAACTATGTTTTAAAATTATTACTTGTATTACCTGCCGTATTACCGAGCAGCAAACCAAAGAAATTCTTACTGATTACAGTAATTTGGTAAAGAATTCCTAAGCGAATTACACTCTTATACTTGCGGTTTACAACTCAATTATTACTAAATTATTATGATTATTATAATTGTTATTAGTGTTATTAATAAACAAATTTAGATAACCTCCAATCTGCAAAATAAACTTGTCATTTACATTCAAGAATTTCTTCGCGTTACGAATTTTGATTAAAGATTCTGTGTCAAAAATTGCAGTTCCTCTACTCCAGCTCATTCTACACCGTTATTAGGTTTTAACACAATCGAATACATTATACAATCCGGCCCCTTAGTTTGGCGTGTCTGGTGCCGAAAGATAATTGCGTTAACAACCGTCTCAAGCAATCATTAAAAGCGAAATAACGAGGAACTAATAAATCTAATCAGAACTACGGCTCTAACAAATTAAATTTATACAATCGTGCACAATCCGCATTATATTACCGACTGGTTCTGATTTGCAATTATTCATTTCTCTGAGGCACGAAAACTGACACATTCTAGAATTGAAGTATTTTTCTTTCAGGCTTTCGAAGAATTAGAAGAACTTCTGGCGGAAAACAACATATGCATCGCGGTAAAAGAGAAGCTCGTTAAAGATTCAGGGGTGGCTAGGGAATCCACATACGACAACATAGTGCTAAAGCTTCAGACTAAACCTAGAGCAAAAGGTAAGATAATGCTTTTTTTCGATGTCCATAGTCAGTTGCAAAATGTAGACAACAACTGATCAGTATTCGGTTCTAGTCGTTCAATATGCATACTTTGCATTGCCTTTTGGTTAATATTAATTAGTTTGGTAAGGACATATCCTTGCTTACAAGTTATTGTATGTTCCTCATTTCGTAGGAAAAAGTGGCTACACAAAAGATGGTTTAACCAATACTAACCAAAAATGGGGTTTACGGTGACAGGTCACATGTGCATTCTATTTGACCTAGGCTTTAAAAAACCTGTATGTGTCAAACCCAAACTCGATTAGTTTATAAAATTACAAATTAGTAACAATTTAATTTTAATGAATTTCTAAAATTCAAAAATTGTGTGTCTAGGAAGCAGATTATATAGACTACCAGTAGGCATTTATTTTCGAACTGTTAAAAACCGTCTATTTTGAATAAGGCTCAACAAAATACCAAGTGCCATATATTATTGGAAAGGTAATTTCCTATACTTCGAAACGATACTGCAAATTGATTTGTAGTTTGTACCATGTTTTTTATAAAAGTAGATATTGATATTATTTTCATCTATCTGCTTCAGAAATGGAAGTCTCCCTTTCAAAAAGTCCAATTTGGCCCACCCTGAAGATACTCCGTATTCAAAGCCCATAGCATAGAAGCGGTTGAACTGAAACATTATATACAAGAGTAATAGAGTTTTTTGGAAAGAAATTTTGGTAACATTTCAATTGTGTACAGTAAAGCTCTATTTCTTTTATCAAATATAAGGCATGATTATTCCTATAAGTTTTTTATCAACCATCAGTCCTAAGTATTTTATAACATTGTTTCCCTTAATTGGTTCTACTAAAAGTGTCCAAAAACACCTTTAATACTTTTAAACTGTTTTCCATTTTCTCTTCTACACAATTAATTTATATATAAATTAAATAAGAGAGGTTCTAGCACAGCTCGCTGCGGTATACCGTTAAATTACTTTAACCAGTTATTAGCGAGCGATCTAATTTAAACTAATTTCATTTCATTTGAAGCTACCTTGTATATGGTGATCGTAATCGGAGTGTTTAAACAGGAAGACCCTATTTCTAAACTAGATAGAGCAAAAATTGACTTGCAGAGGCTCGATTTTTGAAAAATATTCATTTTGGAAATTGCCTGTAAATTTTTTATTTATGAAAACTTCTGGTTCCGATAAAAAACATTTCTAAAGGTAAATCTGGGGTTGTACTAAAACTTTTTTTTTAAATTATCGGTTTTCTTACAAGTGAATACAACTTTCTTATTTTATATGACAATGGTAGTGGGCTACGGCTTCAAAGTATGTTTGTGTGGAGATAAATTATTATTAAAAACTGCAGAAATCAATTTCAACTAAATATGATGACAGTTTGAATCTGAAAGTAATGGATTAATAAAGGTCCCAGGTGAAGATTTTTTTTACTTTCAGTATATAATTTTCTATCTAAAATGGTGAAGAAATTAAAAAAGTTAAAAATGCAATTTCAAATATTTGGAGATTTATAGTATATTAAACCACATAACAATAATAATAATAATAATAATAATTAAAAGGCTGTTGCCCTTGGGTTCTGCGTCTATTGATCGAGCGGATACAAGAAGTGGTCATCAGTGCAATCGTATATCGCCCTGTGGGGTCGGAGTCGTGGGAAAATTAAATAAAAATAATAATAATAATAAAAATAATAATAATAATAATAATAATAAGGTATACACCTGATTTAATTAACTAATAGAATTAATAAAACGAAATCATAACTCAATGGATGGCAGCTGACTATCCTAATCCTCTAATTAATACCTCTACAAAAACTAAATTTGTGCGTAGTAGTAATAAAAAAAGCGAAAATGAATTGATTATCCCTTAAACGATTTAGAAACATTTCGAAATAGTAGTGTAGAGTCAGTCCAAGTTAATGTCTCACAATTCAGAAATGTCATTAATAATTTGTTAATTATTGATTTTATCATGTTGGTCTTGCCTTTAAAATTAGAAAAAAATGTCACAACTGCGTGGATTATGCGTGAGTTAAAAAATCTATTCTCTCCAATAGGAACAGAAAGGCCTCAGAAAAACCAAACAGTTTGGAAAACAATATTCATGTCATTTGAAGAAAACTTTTTAGCATTTACGCTGAACAAGCTTTAAACTAGATGATTTCAGGGATATTGTATATCACTGTTTCAGTTTACTCTTTATTTGGGTTGTGTATACAAGTTTAATGGTAAAGATGTTACACAGACCTTGCCAGTTTCTAAGACAGTGTCCCAATAATTTGAATGCGTTTGTCGTTATTCTTCATATATATGTGTTCAATAAAAGTGAAGTTAGTGTCAAACATCAAGGGCATGCCATTGAGTATATGGGACTATTATTTCGATGAGAAGACAGGACTTTGCGTTTGGCAACATTAAGTTTAAGAGAGTTCACAGGCGACAACTGATTTATCACAAGCAAAACGTATTGTAATACCTAGCGATCATTCAGTTTGGTCTTTTGACATTTAACATAACGTATAAATCGTTGATGAATATCAAAATTAGGGAGGGACCTACATTTGACCCTTGGAGCACTCCGGACGTAGCAACAAAAATTTTAAACTTACTGCCTCAATATTCAATAAAGAGTCGAACACTATTGTTATAAGAAAGTGGATTTCATCTTAATTTACATTATTACTTTACAGCATTTATTAATAATTATAATCTTGTGATTTAAATTAAATTCATGTTTTATAAAATTTTCCTGATTTTTAGTATGTTTATGTCCATTTATACAGTTTTTTTTAAGTTGACTTGTCATTAAATGCATTTAATACATATACACCCTCTGATTTCCTTTCAACTGGAATTTAACTTTTAAAAGATTTGTGGCAAACTGTGATATCATATTATAAAATGGTACCATTAGTTAGCTTAGGTCAGTTAAGTTAGTAATACTTCAATACTGGGTTACTAGTAAAAAAGTTAAAACAAAGCCTTTTGGACACTTGCCGCTAGTTCACTCGTAAAACCTGAATCTACAAAACAATTAAAAATTAATTGATTCATTTAGTGGCAAAAACCTCAGAAATTTGGTGTCGAACGACGACATGTAATCGTAATAAGTCATTAATTCTTTCTTTCGAGACACCCCGAGGTTACTACAAGCTCTGTGCGTCGCGTTCTTCGTAAATTGGATAACATTTCCTTTCCTTAAACGAAAAAGCCGTCAAGGCTCGGATATTTTCTTTTGAACGAAGAAAAATAACTTTAAATTCAGGGACAGCAACTGCTCATTCTCTACGTGACCGGTTTTAGCAAAATTTTGTTTACTGCCCAGCGCCTTAAGATAGTGGATAATTTAGAGAAAAAATTGTGAAGTGACATAAATCACTCGTCCTTTATTTGTTTAGGAAAACTCGAAAACTCGAAAATAGTCAAGCCTGTGTGTTTATAAAATTACAAATAAACACCCCATAAATGGAAGGAAAAGGTACTCCTTACTTTCGAGGCTGCTTGTAATATATTAATTCAATTTTTTTTCGTCATTAAAGTCATTCAGAATAACCAAAAAATTCGTATAAGTTTTGTTTTTCAATTTGAAATTTTTCCTCAAAAAGGGAAGAAAGAAATAAGTTTTTTGATTTAACTTTTATATTTTGAAATTTTGTAACTAACAATCTACAAAAACACTGATTTTTAAATGGAATTCAATGGTCTACAAAAAACGTATCTTAACATTTTTGTACAATTTTTTTTTAAATGTTATTCACTATTGAACTTGAAGAAAAAATAAAATTTTAATTGTCATTTTGACATTTAATTAATTAACTTATTTAATATTTTTGTTTAGTAAATATTACCGTAATGTTGTTTATAGTGTTACAAGTTAAGTGCTAATATATTAAATAGTACAAACAAAAAAGGAATAAAAAAACAAAAAAATGAAAAATGACTAGAGTGGCAATAAATGTAAGGGCAACAGACGTTGCGGTTAGAGTGTTAGAAAAGGGATAGAGTGTTTTTACTCATCATAGTGGTTAATAAGCCGAAGAAAAGCGAGACAAGTAGAGGGACAAAACAGGAAAGTTGCAAATAGATAGGAAATCGCCTATATTAACAAGTATATTATACTAATGTGTAAAATATTGTTAATAAATAATGTACTACAGTATAAAAACCTAATTGTAATTTGTAAAATTGTTTTTAATGATTATATCGACAATGTCAATTATCGATGATGTGGAATAAGTTTTTTATTTTTTCTTCAAGTTTATTAGTAAATATATTTTTTTATTTTAGGCTTTTTTAAGTAGAGCCTTGAATTCTCCTTTTGGGAGTAATGGGATGTTTTGGGAGACATTACTCCACTTCTTGAATTTTGACGTTTGTTGATTCACTGCACTCGTGCCAAAAAAACTGGTGACTTAAATGCCGTTTACCACACTTGTTGCATAATATACTATATTAGTGTGGTATATACAATAGGGATTAAAAATAATTTCATTGCACGAAGTACTTATATATAATATTAATAAGATGGCAAACAGTGCATATTACAGTAGATATAACATCATGAATTAATTTTAATTTTTTATTTGAAATTTTAGCTTCATAACTGAGGAAGGAATTTAATTTGTTGAGAAACAAACTTCTCTGTCCTTGAAATCTAAAGTTAGGAACACGGTCTTGAAACAACTGTAGTCAACGTTGACGAGTTTTCTCGACTCGGTGAGGAGTTGAACTTTAATATAATTTCGCAGGGATAACTTTTAATAACAAATTCGACCTTTCAAAATAAATCGTGCTTTGAAATCTCAAGAGTTTCAGGTCAGCGGATGCGAAAACATTTTTCCTAAATTATGATTAAATTATGGGGCATCGATACATAAAAAAAATTGTTCTGAATTTAAAATATCTATGTATGTATGTATAGTGTATCAGTGCTGAAAGGGCTAATTCTTGAGCACATTTTAAGAAAAAAAATT